TTCGATTTGTTTGTCGGCGTTGCTTATTGTGGCCGGCTGATGAAATATCGAAATATTTTTGTGTTTTTTTGATTGACTTCCATATAGTATTTCCTGTCGTTTTTACATAAACTGTCCGCGAAATTTAATCTCTAGTGTTTATTTTCACGTAGTTTGTAATTTTCAAACGACCAATATTATGGTCACTGCGTTTTTATAATAGAACAATATAATACGGTATAGAATTTTTTTTGTGGTAGGTACATTTTTTTTCATCGGCATTTTGTTCTGTTAAAAATGCACAAATCGCAACTAATATTAAACGAGGATGTACGGTATATGAGTACTCCAACGAAAATTACTTATATTTAATAATAATTTTCGTCTAACAATAATAAAAAAAGAATAAAATAAAAAAATGGAATTAAACAAAATAAAACAGAATGAAACGAAATAAAACCGAATAAAATGAAATAAAACGCAATAAGACTAAATAAAACTAATTAAAATGAAATAAAATTAAATAAATGGAATAAAATGGAATAAAATGAAATAAAATGAAATAAAATGAAATAAAATGGAATAAAATGGAATAAAATGGAATAAAATGAAATAAAATGGAATAAAATGGAATAAAATGGAATAAAATGGAATAAAATGGAATAAAATGGAATAAAATGGAATAAAATGGAATAAAATGGAATAAAATGGAATAAAATGGAATAAAATGGAATAAAATGGAATAAAATGGAATAAAATGGAATAAAATGGAATAAAATGGAATAAAATGGAATAAAATGGAATAAAATGGAATAAAATGGAATAAAATGGAATAAAATGGAATAAAATGGAATAAAATGTAATAAAATGGAATAAAATGTAATAAAATGGAATAAAATGGAATAAAATGGAATAAAATGGAATAAAATGGAATAAAATGGAATAAAATGGAATAAAATGGAATAAAATGGAATAAAATGGAATAAAATGGAATAAAATGGAATAAAATGGAATAAAATGGAATAAAATGGAATAAAATGGAATAAAATGGAATAAAATGGAATAAAATGGAATAAAATGGAATAAAATGGAATAAAATGGAATAAAATGGAATAAAATGGAATAAAATGGAATAAAATGGAATAAAATGGAATAAAATGGAATAAAATGGAATAAAATGGAATAAAATGGAATAAAATGGAATAAAATGGAATAAAATGGAATAAAATGGAATAAAATGGAATAAAATGGAATAAAATGGAATAAAATGGAATAAAATGGAATAAAATGGAATAAAATGGAATAAAATGGAATAAAATGGAATAAAATGGAATAAAATAAAATAAAATAAAATAAAATGGAATAAAATGGAATAAAATGGAATAAAATGGAATAAAATGGAATAAAATGGAATAAAATGGAATAAAATGGAATAAAATGGAATAAAATGGAATAAAATGGAATAAAATGGAATAAAATGGAATAAAATGGAATAAAATGGAATAAAATGGAATAAAATGGAATAAAATGGAATAAAATGAAATAATATGGAATAAAATGGAATAAAATGGAATAAAATAGAATAAAATGGAATAAAATGAAATAAAATAGAATAAAATGGAATAAAATGGAATAAAATGGAATAAAATGGAATAAAATGGAATAAAATGGAATAAAATGGAATAAAATGGAATAAAATGGAATAAAATGGAATAAAATCGAATAAAATGAAATAAATTTGAATAAAATAAAAAGGAATAAAATTCAATAAAATTAAATGAAATGAAACGGAATATAACTGAACAAAATGGAATAAAACGGTGTAAATTGGAATAAAACAAAAAAATTTAGAATATAGCGAAATGAAATGGAACAAAACGAAATAAAGCGGATGGAAACAAAATAAAACAAAATAAAATGCAATAAAATGGATAAAACCGAATAAAACAAAATAAAATGAAATAACACAGAATAAAACGGAATATGACAGAAATGTCCTAACAACTTCTTAACGCTCGGTGCTTGTGTACGTCTATTTGATACCAGAAACCCATGGGCGAAGTTATGTCATCAGATCTGGGGGGGCTAAAGCCCTAGTCATATAATATATAATAGTTCTAGAGGTATACCTACTGAAGTTAAGTAAAAAAATTCTGGCGAATCTATGAAAATGAATAAAATATCATATATCGATTCTAAAAAAAGTTTTGCAAAATTTCAATATTGTGAATTTGTAGATATCCATTTATGGTAAAAAACTAAATTTTACGACTTGCACTTGGAAAATAATGAATACTTCAGTTTTGATTTTGACATTAACACCATATAGATTGCAATTTGCTGGGGACTTTTTCGCAGATTTCATTTTTAACATAAACACTATCACATACTATAAGAAATAAACAAATTTAAAGCTAAAAAGTAAAAAAAACTCGAATTGTAATTGATACAAATTAAAATGTAAACAATGAACTCGTTGCCAAATGATGAACTGATTTTAAAACAAAATTAATAAATGAACTGAAATTAAAAAAAAAAATTAATATAATAAATCGGTTTTATAAAAAAGTCCTTAAATAAATATAGAGTATGATTACATATTACTATACACAAATTTTGATTCTTAAATAAAAGGTCTTATCCACTTCTTCAAGAGCTAAAATCCGACGACGTAGAGAAATTTTGCTACTTCTGGCAACACTGAACGATATCCTACTTATAGGGACCTTCTACAAATTTCCTCCAGAGGGCGTATCACTTAGCTTGAATCGCAAATAAAGATCCTTCCAATTATACCTTCTCAAGGAAGTGTAGGATTTGGAGTGGCTTCAAGTTAGGTAAATCTCCCTCTTCTATTTGATATGCTCCTAGGTATAGTGCCTTTGGATTCTCAAGTGCTACACATTTAGTTAGAATGTGAATGAAGATTTTTTCCTCCTCCTCACAAAATCTGCACTATCTTCTACTACTCTCAGTTTACTAAGGTGTAATTTTAGTTGGCAATGTCCAGTAAGGATCCCTGTTACAAGTGTTCTCACTACTAGAAAAATGTATATTATGATAACAGCTTAAAATACAATCTGGCTAATGGGGGAATACCCCGAAAGCCTTGCCAGACTCGTCTAATGACCGTCAGATCCGACCGAAATACGGTTTTATAACCGAAACAGAAACCAAATTTCGGCTCCTTTCTTAGTTTCGGCCGAAACAGAAACAAGAACTTTCTTTTAAGGCAATCTCTTATTGAAATTTGCAATATCTCATTGTAATCCTTGTTTTAGACTAATTAACTCGTATTATAAATTTTAGCTACATTTACTTATTACCTGTTTATTTATGTGATCAAAAGAAGCCATTAATAAATTTATTGACATGTTCACTTGAAACAAAGCAGAGAAGTTTGTGTGTACGTGGTCGTGCACTGTGTAGGAATGGCACCCGGCACAGTCGCCATTGCGCCGGACACAACCAATTGTGATACGAAAACTTTTAAAAGTAGTTTCGCTGTCAGCTGCAGTTTCGGCCAGTTTTCCGCCGAAACCGAAACTGTAGTCGAAACTATTATTTAAAGCCAAAGTTGGCCGAAACCGTAACCGAACCTTCGGTCGGACACTACTTGTGAGTCTGGCAGGCCTCTGTAATTGTAATTGTCAGCCAGACGTGTATTTTCACTTACGAATATTTTGAAATTTATCCTAAGTAGATGGATAATGTTCTTAAAATATGCGTGAGTGTGCAAAAATTTACTGACAATAATTTAGGCACGTTTGGTATTGGGTAAGAAAGTTTTACACCAAAATATCCAAATTTTAAAACTTGACAGACATGCATTAAAACGACTAAAATCAAATTTTTAAAGGTAGCCATACCACAGAATATGCTGTGACCATACTATGACCATTTGTCATATTTGAAGTCGTTTAGTTGACGCGAAAAACCTAATTATTATTTTACATAAAATAAATGTAGTGTATTTCTACCTAGTTATAATTGGTATTAAATAAAATATTAACCACTGAAATGGCAAATTTTTTATATGCATGAAAGAGCTGCTCAACTGTCAAAAAAATTTTCAGTATAATTTCGTTCAGGGTACCCACCAAAAGAAAAATTTCCGGAAATTTTTCTGGTTGTCATGAAGGTGTTTTAAAATAACAGCAGTTGATTGGCTATAAAATGGAGGTGTAAAATTATAATTTAATCTATCACGTGATAAATTTTCAAACCCGGGAAAATAAAAGCAAAAATATTATATTTTTTCCATTTAGAAGATATTACCAGACTCATTAGCCAATTTCGTAAATCAGCCAGACTTATTATTATAAACAGTTCATGATTGTATCAATTTATATGCTCAATTTTCTGCCACACTCACTTTCCACTATCTGAGATAATCCAAACTGCTATTTTTATAAGCTTTATGTTCTAGTTTAGTAAATGTAAAATAGTTATGACTGGGAAAATAAGTGTCAGACTCAAAAATTTTGTTTTTTGTCACTAAAAGAACAGTTTATTTTTCATATACATCGACTGGAAAAATGAATACGAAAAAAATTCACTGCCTCCTGAACTAAATGTAAAATTGCAGAATCAATCAAATGGCACGATTCTTTTTATTTTTTAATTTCTGTTCTGAAATGTTTTGGTGGATGTGCGATAAATGTTCTAATTATTTTTGGGGGGGCTAATTTGGTTTTTGGGGGGGCTTAGCCCCCCCAAGCCCCCCCTTAACTTCGCCCATGCAGAAACCACACTTACCGACCGATTAACCTATTCTGTCTTTGTTACACAGTAGCAATTTAGAAAGGAAAGCCATTATGATCAACGCCAGATTGAGTTACAGTATTTATCGAACAGGCTGACAACTTGAAAACTTCTAAAAGCCAGAATAGTTGTCAGACTTAACTAAAATTAATATTATCTGGCTAAATCTGACCTGTTATGGTATAAATGTTTATAATTTCATTGTTTCCAAATTCACCAATAAACCCGATCTGCAACAATTCAGTAAATATTCTTACCTGTTCTCTTTTCAGCATCCCGGAAAGTCAGTTCTTCTAAAACGACGCTATGACTCTTTCCCTTGATGTTAACAGCGAATACTACGATCCTGAAGGTGACATCTGGTTCCAAGTTGTCCAAGAAAAAGTACGGCTCCATGAAAGAAGTCATATTGAATCTCGGATCAGATGAACTAGACGAATACAGTTCAAGAACGAAGTGTTGCGGAAGACCCCCATCGAAGCCTGGAAGGCAGTAGACTTCAACCGAACTGCTGGTTTGGTTTGAGAGGGTACAGTTTTTTACAGGAAACGGTTTTCCTGAAAGAAAATTAGTTAAAGTTTTGGGTACAAATAGATGTTTAGAATTTGAATCACTATTGATTTATTAATTGGTATTATTTTTGTATTTTTCATTCCTAGGAAGTCTTAACATTCGAATTGAATTATTTAGAGTTATTAGAGGTTATCTTTAATTTGTTTTAAAACAAAACTACAAATTGGTGTTTTGTTGATCTTGCTTTAGTGAGATATATTTCCAATTAGTTACAGTCTCCTTCATCATAGAAAGAAAACTTCTACTCTCAGTAGAATCTGACACCATACCAACACTACCGATCCTCTTTAAGTCTAGTGGGAGTTTGTAGCAACCTCTGGAGAAAGATAACGATATCACCATTATAAAGATAACAGCAAGGCAAGTCTATATTTATACATATTTAGAAATTTAGACACTGAGCCTATCTCAGAAATATCGTTGTTTTCTTTTATTTGAATTAAATAGTTGTTTCCTTGAAGGTTAACGAAGCAATCCATTATTAACAAAATGGCGCCCAACATTTTCTTCTCTCAGTTATTACTTATTTGTTTTTTTTTTAAATAAATCACGATGATTCAACAGCTGGTAATAGTGGTATTGAATGGTTTTGAAACAAATCCCCATTTTAAAAAATTATAAGTAAACTGTGTTTTACTTTACTAGATTCAACGGTAAGCTCTCATATTAATGTCATCATAATCAGTAGCGAACGGTTCTTTATGCAGCTGCTTCTAGGATTTTGACAGAATCTAGTTACGAAGCATATGTATTAAAATATAATAGAGTTTATAAATCCTTTAAAACGTTTATAATGAGAAAGTCGAGCTGCACACATGCACCACACCAAATTCTTGCACAATACATTAGAAGTGCACGTAACAGTGCTAACGTAATCGTAAATTACAGTTGCGTGAAATGAGCTGTCATCAAGATAGTAATAATAGTGGATATCAAGGGTTGGCGCCCTCATTATTTTCCCTTCTTATCTCAATTTATTTTTTGTGCCGACGCTGGAAAATGTAGGTCAATGTTCAAATGTTTGTAGATTACCGAGAAAAATGGCGGTACGGCATGTTTTTTCTCTCATTTAGTTCGGCTAAATTGTTTGGGTGCCACCCGTAGACGACTTTTTGTTCTCGTAAATTCGGGATTATATAAAACTGGATCAAAATGATCATGGCGTAAAAGTGGATCCATAGTCTCGCTATTTTTTATGGAAATTAACAAGATTCGAACATTTTTTAATAAATCGGAATAAATATGATCATTAATTATTATTATTTTAGTTAATTTTATTGCTAAAACAGCTGTTTCTAGCGGATATAGCTATTTTTATGTTTTACCTCTAAAATGCCTTATGTATAATATATTACTAGCCCAAGAACACTTTCCTGAGGGATTCCAGCAAGTATTGACTTAAGTTCAAATTATTTCTTTTCAATTTTAACTTAAATGTTCGCTGCGATAGATATGATTCTATTAGTTGGACATATTGTATGGGGAAAAATTTCTTTATTTTAAATAGTAGGCCTTGATGTCAGACTATCGAAGAAATATTAAAGAAATATCGAAGAAATATCAAAGAAATATCAAAGAAATATCAAAGAAATATCAAAGAAATATCAAAGAAATATCAAAGAAATATCAAAGAAATATCAAAGAAATATCAAAGAAATATCAAAGAAATATCAAAGAAATATCAAAGAAATATCAAAGAAATATCAAAGAAATATCAAAGAAATATCAAAGAAATATCAAAGAAATATCAAAGAAATATCAAAGAAATATCAAAGAAATATCAAAAAAATATCAAAGAAATATCAAAGAAATATCAAAGAAATATCAAAGAAATATCAAAGAAATATCAAAGAAATATCGAAACAATATCGAAACAATATCGAAACAATATCGAAACAATATCGAAACAATATCGAAACAATATCGAAACAATATCGAAACAATATCGAAACAATATCGAAACAATATCGAAACAATATCGAAACAATATCGAAACAATATCGAAACAATATCGAAACAATATCGAAACAATATCGAAACAATATCGAAACAATATCGAAACAATATCGAAACAATATCGAAACAATATCGAAACAATATCGAAACAATATCGAAACAATATCGAAACAATATCGAAACAATATCGAAACAATATCGAAACAATATCGAAACAATATCGAAACAATATCGAAACAATATCGAAACAATATCGAAACAATATCGAAACAATATCGAAACAATATCGAAACAATATCGAAACAATATCGAAACAATATCGAAACAATATCGAAACAATACTGAAAAATATCGAAAAAATATCGAAAAAATATCGAAACAATATCGAAACAATACTGAAAAATATCGAAAAAATATCGAAAAAATATCGAAGAAATATCGAAGAAATATCGAAGAAATATTAAAGAAATATCGAAGAAATATCGAAGAAATATCGAAGAAATATCGAAGAAATATCGAAGAAATATCGAAGAAATATCGAAGAAATATCGAAGAAATATCGAAGAAATATCGAAGAAATATCGAAGAAAGATCGAAGAAATATCGAAGAAATATCGAAGAAATATCGAAGAAATATCGAAGAAATATCGAAGAAATATCGAAGAAATATCAAAGAAATATCAAAGAAATATCGAAGAAATATCGAAGAAATATCAAGAAAAATGAAGAAAAATGAAGAAAAATGAAGAAAAATGAAGAAAAATGAAGAAAAATGAAGAAAAATGAAGAAAAATGAAGAAAAATGAACAAAAATGAAGAAAAATTAAGAAAAATAAAGAAAAATAAAGAAAAATGAAGAAAAATGAAGAAAAATGAAGAAAAATGAAGAAAAATGAAGAAAAATGAAGAAAAATGAAGAAAAATGAAGAAAAATGAAGAAAAATGAAGAAAAATGAAGAAAAATGAAGAAAAATGAAGAAAATGAAGAAAAATGAAGAAAAATGAAGAAAAATGAAGAAAAATGAAGAAAAATGAAGAAAAATGAAGAAAAATGAAGAAAAATGAAGAAAAATGAAGAAAAATTAAGAAAAATGAAGAAAAATGAAGAAAAATGAAGAAAAATGAAGAAAAATGAAGAAAAATGAAGAAAAATTAAGAAAAATGAAGAAAACTGAAGAAAAATGAAGAAAAATGAAGAAAAATGAAGAAAAATGAAGAAAAATGAAGAAAAATCAAGAAAAATCAAGAAAAATCAAGAAAAATCAAGAAAAATCAAGAAAAACAAGAAAAAACAAGAAAAAACAAGAAAAAACAAGAAAAATCAAGAAAAATCAAGAAAAATAAAAAAAAATAAAAAAAAATCAAGAAAAATCAAGAAAAATCAAGAAAAATCAAGAAAAATCAAGAAAAATCAAGAAAAATCAAGAAAAATAAAAAAAAAAGAAAAATCAATAAATATCCAGAAATATCGAGAAATATCGAAAAATATTGAGAAATATCGAGAAATATCGAGAAATAACAAGAAATATCGAGAAATATCGAAAAATATTGAGAAATATCGAGAAATAACGAGAAATATCGAGAAATAACAAGAAATATCCAGAAATATCCAGAAATATCGAGAAATAACGAGAAATATCGAGAAATAACAAGAAATATCCAGAAATATCGAGAAATAACAAGAAATATCATCAAGAAATAGCATCAAGAAATATCATCAAGAAATATAATAAAGAAATATCATCAAGAAATATCATCAATAAATATCATCAAGAAATATCATCAAGAAATATTATCAAGAAATATACTCAAGAAATATCATCAAAAAATATCATCAAGAAATATTATCAAGAAATATCATCAAGAAATATCATCAAGAAATATAATCAAGAAATATCATCAAGAAATATCATCAAGAAATAACATCAAGAAACATCATCAAAAAATACCATCAAGAAATATCATCAATTCACCATACGATATCTATATAAAATGTGATAAAAAATGCATCATCAACTATCAAACTAAAATATCAATAAATGTCAAAGTTCTTACCAATGATATGTGAAAAATTAAATTAAAATTTATATCCTTTTCAAAAAATGTATAAAATACTATTTTTAAAATGAACTGTCAAAAATTACTATAAAATGATAACTTACGATTGGGCGCCAAAATGTTACAAAAAGAATAGCAGATAAAATACAATTATTAAATTGGGCAATATCTTTCATATAAGTACGATTTACTTCCATATTACCTATAATAATACTCTTCCTAATTTGCACCCTTACGAGTGAATTTCAACCCCTTAAGTCGACTGAGTGACGGGGAAGGGACGGTTATTATTATTTGCTGTGGCGCTCTGGGGCGACTAAAAGATGATTGATGGCGCCATTTGAGTTACTAGTGAGGAAAACGCACGCATGACGATTTTTATAATCTGAATGTCAAATCCACATAAATTAAATTTCTGCTAATACAACATCCATTAAATCCTATAGAGAACCATGCAAATAAATTCACATGGTCATATGTAGGATTAGAAGCCCTGTGTGCATCTACCACAAAATTGGTTCGCAAATGATGTACGAGCCGTAAACACATACGCTACCATAGTCGATTTCTTATTTACATATCATTAATTAACAGGAAAGGCTTTTCAAAAATGACAAAAAAAAAATGATTTATAAATTTCAATTGCTAAAGAAACATTAATTTTCTTATTTATTACATAAAAAACATTGGAGAAGATACATATTTTCGAACACCTCTACATTTTTATAAATAGTGTAGCATTATTAAAATAATTGTGGTGATTTTCATTTCAAATTACAGACTTTATGCTTATGTACATGTAATGATGTATGTAGTTTTTGTTTCCCTACATTATGCATAATGTTTGATGGATCACTCTACATGATATTATTAGTGGAATTATATACATAGGCCGCTGTTTCCGGAAATATTTTATTTCTATTATTAAGGACAGGTAATTTTGTATTTCAATTTTTCGTGCTTTTTCGTTTTTTTTACTGCACCCTATTTTACCCTTTTCGTTTTCTAACTTTTTTTTACTGCACGATATTGCTTCGTTGCATTTTACCTTTTTGATTTTCTAAAATAAACAAAAAGATATCATAATTCAGTCTATATTACTTTTACATCAGTGTTGACATAATATGTCAAATGTTACTTGTCAATAGTTACCTTTTTAGGTGTTGTAAGTTATAGTAAGCAACCGTTTACCCCGTTCTACTGTTTCTACATGTGATCCAGAAGGTTTGAATCGCACAGAATATGTCTGACTGTTTATATTTCTTTGTGATACACTCAACACAATATATCTCCATTATATACGACTATTTATAAAAATTGCGTAACTCTCTGCTTGAAATGTCAAACTTAATGTCAAAAGTCGATTGTCATTGTCTTTGATTGTAAAATAGTTTTGTATATTGTTCGAACTTTCTAATACGAATCATAATAAAATATTTCTTAACAAAATGTTGCTTACCTGCAGCCACAAGTTGAAACGTGCATGGCTCGAATTGATGCCCGACAGAATTCGACGCCCAGCAAGACAGTGACCCGTAATCTAATTCCGAAACTGGTGTGTACCTTAAGATACTCATTGATCCGTTACTAGTTTTCGCGTATCTTTCGGAAGCAACGTCTAACGTTTCACCGGAATTGTTGAACTTCCAACGGTAGGATCTAGCAGGCGGGTCCGATTCAATTTCGCAGACGATGTCGACGCTTTCGCCTCTCGAAGCTCCTACTATGACTACTTTGTCGTGTTTGCAAGTGGGTGCATCTGTAAACAAAAAATATGAATAATAGACTTGTAGAGACTACCTCTATATAGGTGGTAACTGGCCTGTCTCAAGAATAGTCAGTTTTAACCTTCAATTAATGACTATGTAATTTTGTTATGGACCCAACTATTAGATTTTGACCAAATTTATATAGGACTTCCCTTGAAGTACCCCCTTTCTAACAAAAAATCATTGAAATCGGTCACCGTGTTAAAGAATTATCGCTGAACATACATAAAAAAAATATTGCGACGAATTGAGAACCTCCTCCTTTTTTGAAGTCGGTTAATAAATATTAATTACGTCACCACTTGAGATGTAAATAACAAATTTTAGAGAATTGTGAGATTTGATAAATACTTTTACTAGTAAAAAATCTTTATACTGTTGTATTATGAAAATAATGATTAAAGAAAAAAATATGTACCAATAGTTTTTTGAATATAGCTGGAAATTTTATCAAAATCATCAGTTTAAAGTAAAAAAATACTACAACGTACAAAAAACTCAAATATTGAAAATTATGTAGGAGATATATGAATATTCATAATACTTAATGTACCATTCGAAATTCCAAACAATATTTGTTACGTTTATAACGATTTTGAAATACCGAATAATATAAAATGAGTTTATTTTGGATGGAACAGTGAAGCGTGTACTAGTATTGGCTGTCAAATAATAAAAATTGCAAATTCCAATAAATTTGAAATATTTTTTTCTGAAAAATAAATGTATTCGTAATAACGAACAATCACTAGCTATATACTATCACAATTCCACTATTTATAATTGAAACATCCTTCAAATACGTGTCACTTACAACAAATCATAAATATTCCAATATATTTACTAAGAACACATGCCGAGCCATTTGCCTGGTAATGTTCCAATTTGTTACCGTCTTGAAGCTGACATTTTCATATAAGTCGACGAAACTGAAATGCCTCTAACTATCTAGACAACACGTATACACGTTAAATGTTACATCAATATTTTATATTTATCTCATGACAAAATGGCTGAAACTACTTTCTACACACATCAAAGAGCACAAGGAAAAGTATATTTAGGTCATATGAATGAATGGCAGTAGGACGCCTAAGAAGAATTGAAGTAAGGCAGAACTCGATGGAAAGGAAAAATAACTTTATTATATAAAGAATAATATGTGACAACTGCATTAATTAATTGACAACTTTATCAACAAATATACATGGTCATTTTTATATTTGATATGGTAGTATAGCCTATTACATCATAGTCTAGTCTACAACAAGAATTATAAAAAATTTATGAAAGACCGAGAAGATATTCTACGCCACAAATTAATAACAACGTTTTCACATTTAGTTTGATGATAAGAGTATTTGAAAAGTTGAATCACTACGTATATTTTAATATCATTGCATAAATAATGTTCAAAAAGGAATAATAAAGATGTATTATTATTATTATTATTAAATACAAACTTTCTCCATATTATTTTTATATAAAATAATATAAAGTCAGTTGTGCTGTGAGAATAAAAACCAATTGATAGCCATCGACCGCCAATAAAGAACTCATGGAGAGTACTTATAAACAATTCCATTATTCTCAGTCGACAAAAGCATAAAGGCGTAAAAACTCTTTAACGTCTATTCCGTTTGTGCCGTTTATCGAAGTAGTCGCTACCATTGGCTATCAGATCGTTTATTTTACGAGTTGAAAATCATCTGTTTGACGTGCGTTTCATCTTCTTTCATTTATTATTTTTATGGAGTGGTCCATTAGGAGAGCGTAGTGGTAGCATCAGAGACCGCGATTCGGACCCTATACGAACTAGAAGCGTTTGGATCACGACTCTCGGCGTCCTTACTGTCTCTCTACTGTCACATCGGTTGTGATGTATTGCCAACGGCCGCCGGCCATCGGGGCGCTTTGTTAACCCAACGATAATTCTAGCATTAAATAAAGAGAGTTTTTAGATTCGTAGTACGGTTGTTCCGTGAAGAAAATTAGAATTCTAAAAACTTATAGTCTATATTAAATAAAATTACTAATACATAAATATATACTATGCCAGCAAACTGGCGTCCGAATTTAAACTAATGCAAATTAATAAATATCAAAAGTATTTGAAAAATGAATCAAGATACATCTTATATCCTATTTAAATAAAAAGCATCTGACTATCTGATGTTCCACAAGGATCCCATTCTGAACATCTCTTTACTGATTCCAAAAACGAAATTATTTTATTTCCAATTTTTCTTAAATACCTGAGATGACTGTTATCTATAGACAATTATTGCTGTCATTTCAATGTGCTTGAATCAAATAAATTTAATTATATTGTTTCGGTTTTTTCTCTTATTTAATTAAAAATAATTGTACTCAAATTTGATGTGCATACTATTTTACTATTGTTATATTAAGAAAGTTTATTATCATTTTATTATATTTCTGAAAAAAGTTTTTTGGCAAATTTGAATAAAAAATACCTATTCTATGTCACCGATGATTTAATTGATATTTATACTTTCTATCTATTTGTTTTTAGGGTGCGGATATTTGGTCGATGGGGATAACTCTCTTCGCATTTTTCTACGGTAAAGTACCATTTTTCGATAATAATATACTCAAAGATTAAGAGTCAACCAGTCGCCTTTCCAGAATCACATTCCATCAGTAAAAATTTCAAAGATCTCATCAAGAAGATGCTTGTGAAGGAACCAACCCAAAGAATAACTGCCCGAAATAAAAGTAGACAATTTCAATAATTAATAACAACCCAATAGAAAAAGTTTTTAGGCTGTAAAATATGATTTTTGTAAAAAGAAAACAACTTTGACACAAAATGACGTACTAGTAATAAATTTCAGAATATATAATTCGTTTAATTCATGAATCTAAAAACTTATGGTCAATGATAAATAAAATTACTAATACAGAAATATATACTGTTTCGGCAAACTGGCATCCGATTTTTTACAAATACGAATTACCAAATATCAAAAGTATTTAAAAAACTAATCAAGAAACACCTTACATCTTATTTAAATAAAAAGTATCTTATTCTATCGGACAGCCAGTATGGCGTTAAAGACAATACTTCGACACTAGATACGGCAATGCTAGATGAAGAAGTAGAACTACTTGTGTCCCAACATACAACAAGCAGTATGGAATAATACGCCACCTATTGTGCAGCGAACAACAAGAAATAACTATTCTAAAGAAATAAGGGACCTAATTTCAGCAAAAAGAAAACTAAGGAGCAAATGGTATCAGAACAGAGCTCCATCAGATAAAACCAAACTTAACAACGCCACCCAGCAGTCAAAAAGAGAAAACGAATCAAAAATGAATCTATTTGTGAGTACCTTAGTCACAAAGCGATTAAAAAGGCCCACTGTGCAGAATGCTCCAGTCAGGAATACAGATGGTAGCTGGGCTAGAAATAATATACAAAAAGTTAAGATTCGCAGAGCACCTACAAAATACCTTCGAACCAAATAAAGGAGAATAATTACCGAACTGGGTTCCTCTAGACTGCAGGGATGCACAACATACAGCCCGCCATTGTCGTTTTGGCGGCCCTTTGGCCGTTAACTAGTTTGGCCCACCTACGTCAAATTATACAGTTTTCAGTAACAAACTAGCATTTAGCCTTTTTTTTAGGACTCGATCAGCAGGATGGGTTATACATTATAAGCCGACGACTTTTTTGTTGAAAGTTCGGCAGAAATATAACGTGGGGACCTTTTTTTTAGAAGGAGTTGGTTTATAAATGAAAGGTGGCGACTTTTTGTTTTTTTGAAATCTGAAGGCGACCTTTTTTTTAAAGTTGAAACGACCGAGCCTCTATTGGCGGCTCTCGTACAATTATGGTTTTTAAAATCTGGCTCTTTGAAAATCTGAGTTGTGCAAGCCTGCTCAAGAGAGAGATGACTTAATTATCAAACCAACCTCTCCAAAGGAAATTGCAGAAGATATGAAAACAAATATTAATCCTAAGAAAGCTTTGATTTAATTACAGGAGAAACCTTAAAAAACTTCCGAACAAAGCTTTAATTAAATTTACACACTTTTTTAAGGCCTCATTCAAACTAAGGTATGTCCCTAGATTGTAGAAAGTAGCTAAAGTCATTATTATCCCCAAACCAAGAAAACCTCCGAACTAAGTTTCGTCATATATGCCAATATCTATATTGCCTATAATATCGAAATTATTTGAAAAAATACTAATAAAAAGACCGAAAGGTATCATTGAAGAAAGGAAACTAATTCCAGATTACCAGTTCGGCTTTAGATAAAACCATTCAACTATAGATCAGGTTCATATATTCTCAAATGCGATTAAACAGGTATTAGAAAACAAAGAAGTCTGTTCAGTCATCTTCCTCGATGTTTCGCAGGCTTTTGATAAAGTATGGCATAATGTCTTAAAACATAAACTGAATGTGCTACTTCCACAGAGCTATTGGATTCATACATTTCAGATAGATTCTTTAGAGTACTACAAGATGAAGCATACTCTGAATTAAAAGAAATTAAAACAGGAGTACCCAGGGATGTGCCCTGGGACCCACTTTGTATCTGTTCTACACTTGTGACATACCTACCCCAACTAGAACAAGACACAATAGCTACATTTGCAGATGATACTGCCATCCTAGCGATAGGCAAAGATCATGAAGAGGTTGCAAATAAACTACAAACATCAGTTAATCAAATAAATAAGTGGACCAAAAGATGGCGTATTAAACTAAATGAAACCAAATCTGTTAATATTAACTTTACTAACAAAAACGGTGAAAGAATACCGATTAATATAAATAATGCTCAGGTTCCTAATGCTTACTCGGCAAAATATCTAGGCATTACATAAGATGCAAGACTTCGCTGGAAGGTCCATGTTAAAAAGAAAAGACAAGAGTTAGATATCAAATTCAAGAAAATGTACTGGTTACTTGGTAGGCATTCTAGCCTATCTACATATAACAAAATTCTA